ATTCTTTCAAAAAACCAGCTCTTTGTTTCATTTATTTTTTGTATCGTTTTCTTAATTTCAATTGCATTGATTTCTGCTCGGATCTTTATAATTTCCTCTCTTGTTCGAGCTTTGGGTTTTTCTTGCTCTTGTTTTTCTAGGAGTCTAAGTTTCATCGTTAAGTTGTTTATTTGAGCCCGCTCTGTTTTCCTAGTGTGGGCATTCAATGTTATGAATTTTCCACGTAGAACTGCTTTCATTGTGTCCCAAAGATTCCTGTATGTTGTATTGGCATTCTCATTTATTTGTAAAAACTGTCTAATTTCTTCTTTAATTTCCTCTGTAATCCATTGATTGTTTAGGAGAGTGTTGTTCAGAAGTCTTAATAACAATCATTGTGAAATGTAGCTTGTATGTTGTTTGATTTGTCAGTATTTGTTTGAACTTTAAAATGAATTTCATAAGATTTGGAGAAATAAATAGCAGCTAAAATTGGCAGGTGTAGAACCATGCCTGTAGTAAATTTGGAAAAGCCAACCTAAACAATTATTTTTTTTTTTTTACTTTATCATCATTCAAAATACAGACATTTAAAAATGCAACCACCTCTGACAACTTTCTATTTATAAATCTGTCCTCAACTTGATGCTTTAAACATTTAAAAATTGATAAGGTCATTAGTATTTTTTTTTATACATCACGTACCCCTGATTAAAGTGCAAAGAGAAGGATGCTTCAGTTAGGAGCCTTCTGTCTAAAAGCCATAAAACCAGGCCAACCATGAAAGAGCACTGGGCAAATTCAACTTTGGCACACATATTATAATATACCTGACCAGTATTCTCTGCAAAATTGTCAAGGTGATGAAAAAAAAATACTAAGAACTTGTCACAGAGCACAGGAGACAAGAGAATCTGACAAGTAAATGCAATAGCTTATGCTACCCAACTAAATAAATTTCTTGGATTGAGTCCTATGGCACAAACAGCATATTATTGAAAGCTGGTGAAATCCAAATAATGTTTATACATTATTTAATTATTATACATACTTTTTAAATTAATTGCAACAATTATTTTACAGTCATAATTAGACGTTGGAAACGAGATAAACTAGGTTCAGAGGATACAGAAACTCTCTTACTAACTTTGCCATGTTCCTATAAATTCAAAATTAAAAGTTATTTTAAAATGGATGGTAATTAGCTGGGCATAATGGAGCACATCTGTAATACCAGCATTAGGGTGGCTGAGGCAGGAGTATTGCCATAAGTTCAAGGCCAGCCGGATCTACATAGCAAGTTTAAAGCTAGCCTGAAATACATAGCAAGACCTTATCTAAAAAAACAAAACAAAACAAAACAAAAAAAAACTGCAGGAGTGGGAGGAATAATTTATTCTCAGTAATAAAAAAATTAACCACTGTCTATACTACAGTGATTTTTATTGTATATAATGATTCTCTTAGTCTTGTGTCAACATTTTAAAATGTATTATGGCATCTTAAATTAAAGAAACTTTTTCTTCACATTTTCTAAAAATGGTAACAACTCGGTTCTATAAACTGCTTCCTTTTTACTCTGCTTTGCCATGAGAAGCTTCATATTCACAAGCTTCTGATAGCGACATTCTTTTAAACCTAGATGTTCACTGTAAAATGACAGAAAACAAACAATAGCAACAAAAACAAAGCAGAGTTGGCTTTATAAAATAATTAACTGGATTAGTATTTTCACTTGCTGCAAAGAAGAAGAAATCAAAGAACAATTCTACTGACTACTTGAAATGTTTACTTTGTTTGAAAGTAGGCTGCTGATGCATTTGGGAAGTTATTGCAGCTATCGTGGAGGTTAGGTTTTGCAGAATTCAGTTTTTGAAATGAAGGTATAAATTTAGTAAACTCAGCACACAAGATGCATACAGCTTTTGTGACAACAGGTTTACTTTCTATCACTTGAGTGAAACGTCATTTCTTAGGATCGGAGGAAAAAACAAAATGCAGGATGCATAATTGCATCCAGAGAAATGAGTGCAGTAGGTGCCGTGGCTGTAGTTTCAGTTTGAAGAAAAAGAAAAAAGTAAAAAAATATATATATTAGAGATAGATTTTGTCCTAATATAGAGAAAAAGAATACTTGAATTATTTAACTGACCACAAAGAAAAAAGGATAGAGGGGAAAGGATAGGAAACAAAAAAATTCACAGTGTATTCCTAGACGATGAACGCATGTCTGATTCTGTAGATAAATGAGAGATTGGGTTTTAGGGTGTAGGGAAAGGAAGTAAGGAAAGAGATGAAGAGACTGCCCAGGAAGCAAGGACAGGGGCACAGTAACAGGAGGTCTCTAAGGAAGTTCCTGTGGGGACAGTGATGTCACTGATGCCATTTACTGGCTCCCTTCTCCTGCAGTTGTCTCTCCATTCTCAGGGCCCTGGACTCAGCTGCTCTTTGAGCAGCCTCTTGTGAGAGAAGCTTTGGGCAGGAAGGCAGATGGCATCCAGTGTGGAGGAAAAACTGGGGAGACAGGGCAGGTGCCGAGGGAGGCAAGTGGGATTGATGGGTAACATTTTAAGCAGAAAGGGGATGGCACATCTACAAGGGATGTGAGCAAAATAACACCTCAGCAATTCTTGGTACTGTGGGATAACAGAAGCGGTGAAAGACGTTAATGTGGATGTTCATTGAAAGGGTGATGTCCAAAGTCTGAATAACCATAAAATGCAAATAGCAGCTGTGTGGCTTGCATAGAAATGACATGTATCAATTTGGAGGTGGTGGCACACCCTAGGAATTCCAGAACTAGTGGAGACTGAGGGAGGAGGATCTCAAGTCCCAGGCTGAGCATCTTAGTGACTTTAGTAAGATTCTATCTCAAAATAAAACAAAAAAGGGCCGGGTTATAGCCCAAGGTGGAAACCCTGGTACCACGAAAAATAACACAAAATACAAAGTGTCTCATCTGTGGACTTTTGCATCTTTTTTCTTTTCTAACCATTGGTAATCTAACCATCTCCGGTCACATGACCACCTTACCTTCCTCGGGGCAAGTCTGCATCATCCTTTTTCCACCTCACAGTTGGTTGAGGATCTCCCTGGACCTGACACCGAAATTCTACAGCTTCTTCCTCCAGCACCACCTGGTTAATTGGCCTCCTGAGAAATGTCGGTCGTTCTGGGAAAAAACAAAGAAAACAGTAAAATGAACTGAATGCTCTTACATTCATGGGAAAAGTAAAGAAAGTGTTATTTAATTTTGGTACATAGGTTCACAATTCTATCTTAGGCCTTATGTATATACTACAATTGAATAAAAATAAATATTTATAAACACAGGAGTGACTATGGTTTGTATATAAAGCCATAATCTTTATGGAAAAATAAGTTTATTTTACTAAATTCTTGAGCCAGATCTTATAGATAGCACTATAAAAATCAATGAGTTTAATAGAAATAGGAATAGTTTTAAAATGATTAATCTATTACCATGTCTCAGAGTGGTAAAACGAAAAGTTGAAATACCTTTAAACATAAAAAAGGAAGTAAAAATTAGCATTCCATTAAGAATAGAAGAAAACATAGTCTTCATACATTACCTAAACTTTCCTAGGAAAGTTATTACCTAACTTGGATTCGATATGTCCATTAGTGTTTGTGCTTCATGTATAGGAAAGTTGTCTACTTGGTTATTTAAGTTAATACAAAGATTGTCATGATCATTGCAAAATGTTAGCATTATATATAATTTTAAAGGTCTTCTATGTGTTTGATATGATCACTTATTTTTACTTCATTAACTTTTTTTTGGTGCAGCATTGTCTTTGTCCTTCTGTATTTTATTTATTTATTTATCTATTTTGTTAATCTTACCCGGCCCTGCTAAATTGTATTCTAGCACCTCGCTACACAAAATAAGGTGAAAATTAATTCCTAACCATAAAACTCTTAGCATCTCAAAAAACATTAAACAAAAGTACTTGCATGTATCCCTCAAAAATTCCATTCTTTCTCCATTTTCTTCCCTTTTTATAATTGTCTGACATTGGAAATTTTATCATTTAAAATTTATCAGCACATGTTCTCAAATCATAGGCAAGTCCAATATTGCTAGTTATTCAAGTAGAAAGAGAGCTAAGTCAAGGAAAAGAAAGATGAGATCCATAGGGAGTTGACACAATTTATCTGGCCATCTGGCTATAATTAGCCATTTAAGACTTTAATTTCAAAGGTTTTAATTTAGTTATAAGTACAATGGCACAAAAGCTGAAACATATTCAGCAAGAAAAAGTACTTAAAGTATCATATGTTAAAAGTATAGACTAGGTTTATATGGTTGTACTAAGTCAAGATCCATACTTAAGAAATGAATGTTATAAGTTGCTATGGAAATGTTGTAAAAAAAGTCAAGCATCACTGGCATTTAGAAAGAAGATGAATGCATCACTGCAATAAAATTACATGGTAGAGTTCAAAACTGAGGCCTGAACATATCCAGTACCTGCATTCAGAGACTGCAAAGCTCCAAGCCATACACAGAACAAGCAAATGGGACTTTATAATGGGAAAAAAAGTTAAGTGTAGAGTCCATAAAATGTTAAGTGTACAATCCATAAAAATTAGAGACAAGGATGGTTGCTTCTAAGGACTTTAGGTAACCAGAATTAATTAGCAACAAAATATCTCACCTAAATTACAGAACAAGTGTACTTAAGTGATGAGATGATTTATAACTACCCTTTTGAACTCAGGACATTATATTCCCAGAAGAATTATTGTAAAAATAACGTATTTGATACTGAATTATTGTCTCTGGCAGTAAGTAAACAAGGACATTATTATATCTTTATGGGTGTTCCAAGTGTTAATATACCAGATGCGATCAGAAATATGGGAAATGCTTGAAGTTGTAAAAATATTACCATAAAAATGCTTGCATTAACTCCTCTCTCAAAACAATCCCAGTCATTTCAGATACATCCAGCCCATCCTTCTTGTCTTATTCAAAAGCAGTTCTGGATATCCTCTTTCCTGTCTTTTGTTGTGCTGTCACGGCTGCCCCAATATACTGAAGAGATTCCAAACATTGATTCTCATGGTTATTTTGACTTTGTGGAAAAGCTGGAAGTCGCACAGTGTCAGATTTGGTGAAGAAGGTTAATAAAGGAGGACAGGCTATAATGTTCCCACAAGCCTGCCTTTCCTTTACATGGTACTGGCCACAGCACTCACTGCATCTGTGAAACAGGACTTTCAGAATGGTTTCAGAAAATGCTAAGAATGTGGGTATGAACGTGCTTTAAATAAGGCCAAATATTTTTAGGGAGATTCCTGGCAATGTGTCTTTTACTGTAATTTTTAAATAAATTTAAACAATCACCATATGTGTTGATCGCTACTCGTAGTAGCCATAAGTCACTAGTATAGACAGTGGGATTGAATTTTTCATGTTATCAGTTGTGGCTATTCATGCCTCCCATCTAAAAAACCTGTATTAATGCACCATTTAAAAGACTAAAGCCACTGGGCAGAGTGGTCCACACCTATGATTCCAGCTAGTTAGGAGGATCTGAAATGTAAGGTCTCTTGGGCAACTTAACATGACTTTGTCTCAAAACAAAAAAACAAAAAGAAAATACAGGCTGATGTGATAGTAGAGTGGCTCAAAGTTTAAAAACATTACTGATACCATTTTGATATTGAAAAAATTTATCAAGATGTTGACAGTAATATTATACTATAAACTTGCATGTAGAGGATCAAGCTAGAGAGGACTTTCCTCATGCGCACGGGCATTCAGCATATTTAGTATAAGCCTCTTCTATGCCGGGCTCTGAGCTTGGTGGATGATAGACTAGCGGCTCAGTGTCATTGGGGGATGACAGGAGGTGAAGCCTGCTGGAGAATGTGGGGTCAGGCAAGACCAGAGGGCTTGTGGGCTGTGTAAGGAATGGGACCTCTGTCTTCGGTGAGGGAAAGCTGTGGAAGAATCTTAAGCAAGGGACTAAAATTTTAATTGGCAGATCTGTGAAGGATGAAATAGAAGTGAAGCATGGAGCAATATATTAGGTCAAAGAGTTCTTTTAAGAACTTATTTCAGTTTACAAGACACTTCCATTCTGAGGGCATGGAAAAGGGACAGACTTGAGAGATTAAAAGCTGAGTGATCAGTCAGATGTGTAGGGAGTAAAAAGTAAATCTTGAAAGATTTTACCTCTCCATAACCTATGTGAACATAATGACAGTAAAATTGGAGGGTGTGGTGCATGTATGGAGAATTCTGGGTCTGAGAAATATCAACTTCTGTCTAAGTAACCCCATTGTTCCTCACATTTATCTTCTTTGAAGTCAAACTAGTTCAAAATTAATAAGACAAAGGTCAATACTTATATGACAGAAAGGGGAAATAAAATAATATTTCTAGTTATAGGGTTTTAATTAAAAATCTAAAGAAAGAATAAAAAATAGTTCTTAATAATAATGACTTTTTGGTCAGAAATTAAATGCCAATATTATTTGTAAAAGTAAGATGCTAGAGTCATGTTCACGGAAGACAGTACAAGATGTACCAAGAGAAGTACATCAATAATGGTAATCAGTAAGAAAGAAGAAATTGTGAATAGTGAAAAAGAATCAAAGTAAGCATTACTTATAAACACTGCAATACAGAACCATGCAGAGAAATAGCTTTGATAATTGATAAGCACAACAAAAATAAGAAAAGTGTAGGATTGCAGCAATCCTGACAAAAAATGGAAAATGAGAGATTTTAGGATAAAATCTCAAAATGTATGGTAAATCCATACATTGAAAATTTATGAAGTCATCAGAATAGCAAAACTATCTTTTTTAGTATGGTGTATTTTCATGGCACTATGCTGAATATAAAATAAACTACAATACAGTACAAGTGTCTAGTTGTATTAAAATACACACACACACACACAACATATCTTTCAGGCAAAGTTTCTGTGTGTTTCTCTGAATATGTACCCATAACAATACTGCAAAATGTAATTAAAAAGCAAAACTGACATTAGACATGTTACAAACTAACTAACCTCTTAGAGCACACCGATAGGGATCTTTAAGGTGGTTTTGGTTATCACGCATGTTGTGAGCCTCTCATTGTTTTATATGGTGACACGTGGAAGCACCAGATTTATAATTTCAAGAAGGAGCAAGACACTGGACCCGCACTGCTGTCCTGATGAACACAGCAAGAGTGTAGACCTGCACAATGTCCTTCTCTCTTCAGTACTGCCCACAAGCAGAGTCCAGTTGCTTAGCAACTGGATAACTACAGGAGCGTGTATGATAGAGGAATTTTGGAAGCCTCATGTTGGCTCATGATAGAGAATATGACTCAATTGATAGGAAGTATTAGATGCTAAAAACAACTGAGATGAAAATCACTTATATATTCAAGATACATTAAATGGGTTTTAACTGGAGAAACAGGTTATATCTATCAACAAAGTAATGTGCAATTTAAAGATATACTGGAGTTTGTTGACAAATTTTAAAGTATTGTTCTGAGAATTCCCATAAAATCTTTCCTAGTACGTATCTCCAAGTTGTAGTATTCATTATACCAAATGTTTTATGTCTATCTACTAAAGTCACTTTCTGCTTTACAACTTTCCTAACTGCTTACAGAACACCATATGCTAAAAATTATAAATATCGTTAATAGTTTTTAATTAAAGAAAAAAATTTGTAACCATTGTTTACCACTGTCCTCAATCAGGTTTTATTTCCAGAAAATCTCAGAACCAGAAAGTTATACGAGTGGGAAATAAATATATTTGAAATGCTTGGCCTTGGCAGTGGCTACTGTTTTAATATGAAGCAAAGCTAATCGCTTTTCAGACATAATTGTGAAGACTACAAGAAAGTCTCTTGAGATTCCTTTTTTTGTGTCAAAAGTTACAGGGTTAGAAAGTAAGTTGATCATAGAACAATCTATTAAATGGATAATATCTCTCAATATTCATTAATTCCCACAGATTATGTCCATGAAACTTCGCACAATTAAAATAAATATGTATGAGAAATGTTGAATTATTGAAAAATAAGAAAGCTTAATTTTAAGGCATGTCAAAATAAGGTCACTAATTTTTCCCTTGTATCACCTATGTCTGACCACATATTGAAAAAGAGAGGGCAAAATCTCAA